ACAGCAATTCAAGTTTGCACCAAGATCAGGCCAAGGGACTTACTGTGCAGACAGGTTATGTTCACTGGGATGAGTGCTACAGAAGAGAGAAATGAATCCACTTTTTTTCTCTTTGGTGAGGGAACGCATATGGGCATCAGAATGACTCAGAACAGCCTAAGCAATGACATATGCATACAGTTGTGATGCTCTCCTCAGGGTGACTAACAGGCAAGAAGAAATTTAGATGTAAGTGGCCTTGGTAAATCAGAAGGGATGAGCCTTCATTGTGAAGGATAACCGAGGGTGCTGATCTGGAGCAATAACCCAAGAAAAGACAGTCAGATCTCAGATAGGAGGGAAGGACTAAGCCAATTTATTCCCTGCAATAAAAATGCATTTTCCTACTACACATTATAGCTTCCCTTCCTCGCTCCTCAAAACACATAAATGATAGCACTGGAATGTTTTTCCCAAAAAAGTTAAAGTTTCTTGGTCAGCAAAGCAATTATTTAGAAAAAGGAAAAGAAGGATGTGAACGCATGTACCTCCTTATTCAGTTATTCATCTAAATGACAATTAAGACAGGCTATCCTTCACTTGAAAGACGATCTATAAGATGACTGAATGAAGTGGGGAATTATCTCTATGAGCTCCTAGAACAATGCAAGGCTCACACATGTAGCTCTAGCGCATGTTAGGTGCTTTTTTCTTTTTTTAGAGACAGGGCCTCACTCTGCTTTCCACGCTGGAGTGCAGTGGCTAATCACAGCTCGCTGCAACCTTTTAAGTCCTGGGCTCAAGTGATCCTTAGCTAGGACCTCAGGCATGTACCACAGCGCCTGGCTAATGTTTTGCAGAGACAGGGTCTCAGAGTTGCCCAGGCTGGTCTTGAACTCCTGGGGTCAAGCAATCCGCCTGCCTCGGCCTCTGAAAGGGCTGAGATTACAAGTGTGAGCCACTATGCCCAGCCAAGTATATTTTTAGAAGGCTCCCAATTGCACTGGCCTGGTTGGGTATTATTGTATATATACACTGATTCTTGACTTCAACTTTTCTTCCAAATCTAGAAAAAATAACCTTGGTTTAAGAATTCTAAAGAAGAAAACACAGGACAGGCATGGTGGCTAACGCCTGTAATCCCAGTGAGGCAGGAAAACAGGGTCTTGAGGCAGGGAACCTAAGGCCCACCCGCCCTAACTGCGTATCAGAGGCTACTCCCTTTTCAACCCCTCCTTTTTCTGTGTGGCAGCTAGAAAATCAAAGTACCTCTGATTGGTCCCCCCTGCAACCAATCACACTGGTCATGGGCCACTAGAATGAACCAATGGAAAACCTCTAGAGGGCATATAAACCCCAGAAAATTCTGTAACCAGTGTTCTGAGTCTCTTGCTTGAGCCAGCTCCCACCCTGTGGAGTATACTTTCTTTTAAAATGAATCTCTGCTCTTACTGCCTTGGTTTTTTGTGCATTTTGTCAAATTCTTTCTTCAAAAGACCAAAAACCTGGACAACTACCCTCACCCAGTAACACCATTGCTTTGGGAGGCTGAGGTAGGATTGCTAGAGGCCCAGAGTTCGAGACCAGCCTGCACAACAAAGTGAAACCCTGTCTCTACAAAAAATAAATTAGGTGGGCACAGTGGCATGTGCCTGTATTCCTAGCTACTAAAGAGGCTGAGGCAGGAGGGTCACTTGAGCCTCAGAGTTTGAGGATGGTGAGTTATGCTACTGCACTCCAGCCTGGGCAACGGAGCAAGACCCTGTCTCTAAAAAATAAGTAGATTAACAGAACAGTCTTTAAACTAAAAATTAAAAATTTTTAGAAGAAAACTTAAGTTGGTATTTTAAAATCTAAACTATAATCAGACTGATGAGATTCAGTATTTTATGTAAAGAATACTACATGATGTCATGGATATTCACCATCACAGTTTTCTCTACTTTTCCTCATGTATTGTTCCTTACCCACTGGTGTAAAGTAGTAAAAAATATGTGCGCATTTATATAGGTGCTGAGTCTAACGGCCTCATCACAGCTGTTCGCCATTATTAACTCTTTATGATCATATTCATATACATACACGTTTAAGTCTGAAGTGGATTCAAGGATCTATAAATTTTCTGAAAGAAAACATTTGCTAAATTTTGTGCTGAGAGGGACAGACTTTAAGAGGCCTTTAAACAAAAACACTAAATTCCACTAATGTAAAGGATCAAGCACGTTCTTCTGTTGCTCTATATGCTCTGAGAACTTTTTCTAATGTTCACGTTTAAAATGAAGAAAATGAAAAATAATCTTCATTATCCAAATGTGAGCAGTGCCCAAGCTTCGAAGGTAGACAGCCCCGCCTCTGCCATGGAGAGTAGGCCCACACACTGGTGCCGCTGGAGCAACCGTGCTGGTCAGAGGGCCAGGGGCAGAGAGCCCCGAACAGGCAGTAAGAGCGCTAATGAGGAAGCAGGGACAATCTGTCCTGTACAGAAAATAATTTGAGATTAATATGTTCCACATCTCCCACCTGGAATCCAGCAGGAAGTTAAACCAAACGACACATGATTCTCTAATTATGAAATACGAATACAGTTGACTGGTTTTTAATATTTATTTACCTGAAAGCTTCTAACTAATGTTTCTAACTAGTGACATGCTTCAGGCCAAGAATTCTATTTGCCTAGATCACGATGTCTAAACACTGCACACTTGAGCAATTCTGGATCCAAATAACTAGCTCTGTATGGTCTCAGGCCCTGTAGTACAGCTCTGCTTCAGTGGCTCCCAGCCATGAAAGGCACTAGGATTACCAGAGGAATTTTTAAAATACCAGTGGGGGTTGGGGATTCCCGTCATCAGTACTAAAGGCTACCAGGTGACTGTAATGTGTAGCTGGGGTTTGGAACCAGCAGGTCAGACATCAATCCTGACAGTACCATGGAGGCAGACTGTTCCCCAGGCCAGATCAGCACTTTAAAGAAATCATGCACTCGATTAAGATAAAGGGATCACTATTTCTTCATGCTCTAAACAGAAAGATAAATGAGCTGCCCAAGAGGTGCTCGGCCAAAACCTGAGAATGGCTTTTAGAGGGCACAGTTTCTACAGCCAACAGGGAGGGCTGGAAGTTTCCCTTTCTAGAGCCACAAGCAACACTTCTAGATTTGCACTGGGGTATGAACTGGGCTGAGCTCTCTGGGAGATCCTCCAGGTTCTAACATTTCCACATAGCAGGTGGGTATTTCAGAAGCAAGTACCTGTCCCCACTCCAGCTAATGCAGAAGGTCAGTACTGGATAAGACTACAGCAGCTGGGAGATTTCCCAGGAAAGGGAGGTATATGAGTGTGTTCCTGAAGTTTTCTCAGGTGCAGCATATGAGGGTATCTTTTTCCTAACCAGGTCCATCACAATTTTCTCCATAATGTTTTGTACCTTTACACACACACACACACACACACACACACACACACACACACACACACACTCTCTCTCTCTCTCTCTCTCTCTCTCCATCCCATACAAAAAGTTTAAAGAAGTTTCCGGCATGAAAATATGCCCTCTTCTAGCTGAGACAGCAGCACTCATCAGCACTGGATTCCATCCCACTCCACTTGCCTGTTGCACACCCGTGGTGGCAACACACCCTCCAGGCTGGCTGCTGTGAGTAGCTTCTGAAGAAAGCAGTCACCCTTTACTATTTGGTAAAGTTGTGTTATATTTTTAACCTAGTGGATTAATCAGTCGAATCTCGGACATGACAGCAAGCTTCATGATCTTTTTTTCCTTTGTTATTCTTAGCTCAACTTCCACAGCTGAGTAAGAAGTTTTTCATGTACTTACAAGAGTGTTAAAATTTTTATTCCTTCTCAGCAGGAGAGAGTTGGCCCTTCTTGTGACTTTGTCTCCGATTCGTGGGCAAGTTGGCTTGGGAATGCTACTAGGGAAATACTAATCTTTCATCATCTTGAAAAAGCAACAAATAGAACAAGAGCTCAATGATTCAAAATAAAAGGAAAGAGACTGTCTAAAATAGCGGCATGTTCAAGTAACAATCTTTTTTTTGTTTTTTTTTTTTTTGAGACAATCTTAAATAATGTAGCAACTTTCTTTTACTATGTTCATTCTGTATCCAAAAGAATCTTACAAACTTGTAATAAAAAATGACATGGTCAACACTTTGCAATGTGCCATTATCAGCCTCTATTACTCAATGAGATACTAACCATATATTAGCGTAATGAGGTCTTGTATGGTCATGTGTTAAAATATGGAAGTGATATTAGCATAAAAGATCCTACTGTGAGAGTAAAATTTGTACAGAGCAGTTCTTTCAATAATTCAGAATATGAATTAACATTCCAATTAATATAAGATCTTCACTTCTAAAGCAAAAGCTAATGGGCCAGGTGGTAAATGCCAGTTTTAAGAATAAACAAAAATGAGGCTGGGCATGGTATCTCACGCCTATAATCCCATCACTTTGGGAGGCAGAGGCAGGTGGATCACATGAGCTCAGGAGTTCAAGAACAGCCTGGCCAACATGGTAAAACCCCACCTCTACAAAAAAATACCAAAATTAATTAGGTGTGGTGGCACACACCTGTGGTCCCAGCTACTCAGGAGGCTGAGGTAGAAGACTCGCTTCACCCCAGAGGTAGAGGCTGCAGTGAGTCAAGATCGCACCACTGCACTCCAGTCTAGTGACAGAGCAAGACCCTGTCTTAAAAAAGGGGGGAGGGCTGGCCCTACATGCTATGTTATCCTAAAAGCACCTATCATTTTTAATGACTGCCTCATCTTTTTTCAAATTAGAAAGACCAATAAAGGGACACAACACATGCTAATGCCCATCTGCAGAATGAGAAGCAAAGTCCAGACAGGTCACACTGGTAGAAGGCGCAAAGGCTACAAGGAATCAAAGCAAAGACCTGTGAGACAACTCAACTGGGCTTAAATCAAGGGCCGATCAACCACCAAGCCAACAGCAGGGATAGCACACTGGGTCAGGGCCGTCTCCCCATACTCACCTTTCTCTTTTTGGCCAACTTGCTTGAGCTATCTGAGCTCCTCTTCTCAGAACTATGCTTCTTCCCGGTGGGTGGCTGTTTATCTTCCGCTTTCCTCTGGCGGCTCCCCTTCCCAGGAGGTTGGGGTATCCGAGAGAGCAGGTCTAGGGTGATCTTCACCATCAAGCTTTGGGGGAGAGGAGTGTCCCTGAGCGGTGAGAGCAGCTTGGTGTCTCTCAAAGGCAATGGGAGTCTGTCTTTGCGGCTGTCCTCCTGGACTACCACGGCTTGGCGGCAGCCACTAGTCCTGCTGCCTCCACCACTGTGAGACGGGCCCTGGCTCTGAGTCAGGGGAACAAGAGCAAAATGCTCAGGGCTCCTGTCCTCCACATTGTCCTTCGTGGGTTCTGGGCCTGAGGGCGCCTTAGAGGGGGCAGGGAGGGAGCTCTTGTGCTTCTTCTTCTCACTGGTCGGGGGCACTGCTGGCTTGGGCTCTCTGCTTGCTGCGGCCCGGGGCCGTCCTTTCGTCTTCACCTTGGGCTTGTCTTTGGAAGTCTGGTCTCTGGAGCCATAGGGAAGAAGTCCTGGCTCCCTTTCCACCTGCAGGCTGGCCCGCGAATCCGCCCTGGCAGAGGCCTTGACAGGTTTTTTGGGTTGTTTGGTTCCAACGGTTTGCCTCTGCGGGGGCTCCTGCTGTGCCGGGGATTTCTGACAGCTCCTCTTTCCAGGGTGGAGGGCTTCGGAAGGGGCCCGGGGGGCTTTGCTGGAGCTTTTTGGGGGAGGATCTTTGGATTCAGAACGCTCCTGACTTGCGGCACCCTCGCTGCTGCCCTTACTCTCTGGGTGCCGCTGAGGGGGCTCTGTGCTCCCGGGGCCCTCTGGTGGCGCGGCGGGTTGGCTGACTTTGGTCAGCCAGTTGTCCAGCTGCCATTTGTTTGTTGCTGGAGGCTCAGGCTAAAAATCAGGAAAGAAAAGGAAGTGTTAACTGACCGATGATGACAAATTATTCTTTTGGGCTTGTCATCCAATTATACAGGACTGTCACTCCAAACCTAAGAATTTAGATGCCATCCTCCTCCTCAGATTAGAAGTCAAGCTCTGTAACAACTCTTAAAGCAACCTTCACTTTTTTGTGGGATTTAGAAATTTGGCAATAGCAAATATTAACTAACAGGCCACTGCTAACTGCTGAGAAATCTTTGTAATATATTCTCTGGTAATTATAGTATAATTTAAACAGAATTGGCACATTTTGGTTTGTAAACTACTCTATTAAGGAATAACAGGAAATGAGTAAAAAATCATTTTATCAAATATTTGCAGAAGGCAGTTAATGAATAAACTAAGTTTTGTGGGGTCACACTTTATCCTTTTTCAGACATACTTCTCAAATGAAGATGACTTTTATTCAAGATGAGATCATCCCTCTTTTTTACGTGTGACAGGGTCTTACTCTGTTGCCCAGGCTGGAGTGCAGTGGCACGATCACAGCTCGCAGCAGCCTCAAACTCCTGGCCTCAAGTGATTCTCCTGCCTCAGTCTGCCAAAGCACTAGAGTAACAGGCCCATTTCTCTCACTTATTTAAAAGCATCATGCAGTAAACATCTATACGTTGACCAAGTTATCATATCACATGCAGTAAATACTGATTTGCAATTTTTACACCTGGATAAAAAGTCAACTGGGTCACATTAACCAAGCATTAGTCCCACGTGAACTCTTTAAAAGTCAAACATTGGGCTGGGCGCGGTGGCTCACGCCTGCAATCCCACCACTTTAAGAGGCTGAGGCAGGCGGATCACGAGGTCAAGAGATTGAGACCAGCCCAGCCAACACAGTGAAACCCCGTCTCTACTAAAATACAGAAATTAGCTGGGAATGGTGGCATGTGCCTGTAGTCCCAGCTATTCAGGAGGCTGAGGCAGGAGAACTGCTTGAACCTGGGAGGCGAAGGTTGCAGTGAGCCGGTATCGCACAACTGCACTCCAGTCTGGCGTCTGGCAACAGAGCAAGACTCTGTCTCAAACAAACAAACAACAACAAAAAACCCAGAGGTTCCTGGCTTGTTATCTTAACTGTTAGTTCAACCTTTGTTGCTAAATTAACTGCTGCTGCATTCTACCACATCTCTCCAACTCAGCTATTAGACCTCATTAAAAGAATGACAGAGGGCCGGGCGTGGTGGCTCATGCCTGTAATCCAAGCACTTTGGAGGCCAAGGTGGGCGGATCACCTGAGGTCGGGAGTTCAAGACCAGCCTGACCAACAGGGTGAAATCCCGTCTTAAAAAAAGAGAGAGAAAAAAAAAAAAAAGAATGACAGAGACTCTTGTGCCTCCAAGTTCCACTACTGTATCTTGCATATAGTGGGTGCATGAGACATTTGAGTATTCCTCTAGGTAGATTACTATACCCATGAATTTCATATCATACAGAAAAATATTAGTGTCTAACAGTGATAGCTATTACATTTATTTTAAAGACAGTACATCACTGTCCTTATGAAAAACACTAAAGATCCACTCTGAGAGATGGTTTGTAAGAATAAGTCATATACATAATATATCAGAGAATTAATTGAAAGACATCCCACTTCAGATTTATTTGATTAGATTATAGATAAGGAGACCACTCCAGTAGGTGGAAAAGTGTTAAAGGGAAGAAAGACTGCTGATAATTTTCCTCATTGGAACATCCCAAATACTTTAACCCCACAAAAACATGAAAATCTAGTGATGTAAAATATGTGGCTATGACATAAAGGTTTTTTGGTCAGGAAAAGGTTGGGTAATAAAACGATCACGTAGATAGTTTGGGTTTAGTGTGACTTTAACTAAGAAACTTAAAAAACCAGGAACATTCTGTGCACAGAAAGATGACTGCATAATTCCTTTTCTTTTCAGTTTACCCCATACTGCTGCTTATGATAACGTTGTCTTCCTTCCCCTGTGTCAACTGTATATCCATGCCGTCATCTGAATGTAAGGGTAGAGAGGGAGGGAAGAGGAAACTACTATTATGTGCCAGGCATTTTGTCACATGTAATCTAAATCTGTATTCGGTATTCTAAGAAGGCAGAATGGTTGTTAAGGGTAGAGAAAAGATTAGCACACAATACCCACTTGTCAAACATGATTTCCTGCAGAGACTTCAGGGTGTGGTTACATAAGCAGTTAACTGATGGGACAAGGTAGTGAGATACATCACTTGTCAATCACGTCAGGGAAGAAGCCTTCACACCCTTCCTCAGGAAAGGTATAGACACAGCTCACCCATTGGCTATGTTTACAACTGCACTCCAATCCCTGACATGCTCTTTCTTAATAAATAGAAGACTATTTATGTGTAAACCCAAAAGGGAAGTCATTCCTGGTATAAATAACATCCAGTTTTCCCCCAACCCTGAAAACAGGACAGTACTGAGATACATTTAATAGTCCCTGAAGGAATGTCCTGGTTACAGAAATAAAGTATTTTCTTCTACTACAGTCCTAAAAATGTTCAGAAGGAATGCCCATGTTCCAATTTGAGGGTAAAATTGAGTAGTTGAGCCAGGCAAGGGGGACAGGTAGGGGCAATCCTATATGTCCAATATTAAGTCGTGAAACGAATACAGTTCCTTTGAGATATTATTAGGTGCTGAGATGGGAAAAATGTTTTCATAAGCAATTGATTAAAAATATTTTTAGGCTGGGCGTGGTGGCTCATGCCTGTAATCCCAGCACTTTGGGAGTCCGGGAGGCCGAGGTGGGTGGATCACTTGAGGTCAGAAGCTCGAGACCAGCCTGGCCAACATGGTGAAACCCCGTCTCTACTAAAAATATAAAAATTAGCTGGGCATGGTGGCACGTGCCTGTAGTCCCAGCTACTCAGGAGGCTGAGGCAGGAGAATCGCTTGAACCCAGGAGGCAGAGGTTGCATTGAGCTGACATCATACCACTGCACTCCAGCCTGGGTGACAGAATGAGACTGTGTCTCAATAAAAATAAATAAATAAAAATGAAAATAAAACATTTTTTAAAATAAAGTTTAAGTGGATAAAAGTCCCAAGGTTTTAGACTATCAAATATCCTGGGAATATTTTATCTTTGTTTAGAGGATCAAAGTTTGAACTTTCATTCCTTCCTCTGCCTCTCTGCACCCCACCCCCAATCTGTCCACCCAGTGCTGGTGCAACTCAAATACTGCAAATTAGAAATAATTTTAAAAAGGCATATAATTTTTTATTAGATGTTTTAATAAACTGGCAAAAGTTAGGGTATTTCAGAATGAATTATGATTCTGAATTAAGTGTAGAGCTTCAAAATATCTCATGTACCCATAAACATCTATACCTACACCTACTATGTACCCACAAAAATTAAAAGAAGACATAAAGAGTGAGAAAGTTAAGAGTGAAAATTCCATAATCAGCTGTATCTACAGTGGGTGCATGAGATTATCTACAGCTGATGATGGAATATTAAAGAAAAAGAATTCTCATTAACATCTGTATGTACAGCTGATTATGGAATTTGTGTTACACCAAAATAACACCAGAGATTTATAATAATGCAGGTATTTACTGTAAAAGAAAAGAGATATAGTTAAACAGGAAAAATTTAAAATCTAAACAAAGATAAAATATTCCCAGGAGGATGAGCCTCAGTATATATAACACATACTGTTCCCAAGCCTGGATACACTAGCCTTTTTAGTAAGGTATTTTTAAAAGATAAGGCAGGATAGGACCATTTATTTTACACCTAAGAGGTTTCATTCTATTCTAGTTAACTTCTCGAGCAATAAAATATATCTATGTCTCATCACCACAAACATGAGATTTTCTTTCAGGTTTCAATTATTCAGCCAAATCCGTACCATTTCCATTTTATTTGAATTAAATGTTGCTTAATTATCTTTTCTACATCAGTAATCTAACTAGCATGAAGATTTTTCTTATGGAATAAGGTGAAACATAAAGCAAAGATCTTATAAGCATTAACAGTGAACAATTTATCTGCACAGCAGAGTCAGTATCCTTTTCCCTGAGGCATAGAAAAACTATTTCAATAGCCATTAGTATCATATAAGGAAACAAAGAGCCTCAGAAACACAATGTAGTTTCTAAAATCTGAAAGGCATTTCAAGTGCAGTTAATTCTGATGCATGTCTGTTCACTCCAAAACATATCAAGCTCTTATTTTCTGTGCCAGACACAGATTCACAGCTAACAGAAAATGACAGCCAGTTATTTTCTCAGCCTCCCTCGCCCTCAGACAAGACCCTGAAGTCTCCCTACATCAGCTCCAGATGTATTCAGTTAATGCCCAATTGGACCTGCTTTGCTTTCTAAACAGAGACAAATACAGAAAGATTTTTAATGCTTTCCTAATTAGAAAGCTTCATTTCCTGGCATTCCCATATTAAATATCTGGAATAATTTTCTTGATATAGGCTGGTCTCATTCACCAAAAAGAAAAGAATGCCTTCCCTTTTCATTAATTTCTTTCCTGGGCATAATTTTTACACTGCTACCTAAATTTTGAGGGTATTTGGCAACCCTGTTAGATGTTACTAACAATTTCTTGTGCCCAACAAGCCAGTAAATAGCATAAACCCTCTAGATATATTTAGTGTTTAAGATTTTCAGTGGTGACAAGCAAACACCACTATCTCTGTTTTACATGGGGCAGAAGGGAGCAAAAAACAGAACCCTGGCAAAATCACTTTGCCATCAATTTAATGCATGGCTTTTGGTGATTCGAAAATAGAACTCCTGATGACTTATTTCTAGTTCACATTCCTGCCCTTTGCTAAATCGGGTGGTCTCCTTTTGCTTTCCTTAATTCATGCATTTCTGAAATTTCAAAAAGAATTCTCATTAATATTAAAACAGCAGCCTACAGAAACCAAGTTTTCTTTTTAAGAAGGGAAAAGAAAATGGTGTGCAAACACTCTTAATGAGTTGATCTTCAAAACAACACTAGCAATGACAGAGAAGGACCTATCATTTTGAACAGGGGAGAAAAGACCTCTCTCCCTAACTCTCCTTTATTAAATATTTGGTAAGAAACAAACAAATAGAAACAGATGGCTCTATACAGCGTAGGAGCAGGAAAGCATTGCCCCATGGGACAGCACGACTCAGTCTCATGGTCAGTCCTGACTCACAACACAGACTCTAGCTTCAAAGGACAGAATGCTGCCATCTGAGGCGGCCATCTCGAGGGGGACACGGTACCTCCGGAGCCGGGGTTTCTAGGGGCTCATTTTCTTCGCTGTCACTTGAACTGCTCTCGCTCTCCGAATCTGAGGAGCTGTCTGAGTCACTGGTGCTTTCTGACTCTGCACTGCTGGAATGTGCTGATGCCACTGGTTCTGGAAGGGACTGTGGAACACTGCAAAGCAACCAAAAGATAAAATTAGAAGGCACCATGCAAGATGGACTTCTCTCTTTCTCCCTTGCCCATTTTTCTGCTACTTGAAAGGAAGGGCCTCTATATTAGTTTTACTGCTAAACTATCACATCATCCAGTTGAGAGAGGCCCAAAGTAGTTTAATAGAACAGCAAAAACCTCTGAAAACAGTTTACCAGACAAATGAATGAAAGAGAAGCCTGTGAAATTTTACTACTGAAGAGTATTTCAAGTGATCCAAAATTTAAGTTAGATGCTGGGTGCTTCATATGAAGGCTTGGTAAACCATAGCCTAGGCTGCCTGACTGCTTTTTTCTAAATAATTTCTTATTAGAACACACTCATGCCCTTTTTTTTAATGTACTGTGTCTGCGTTTATGCTGCAATGGCAAATTTGAACAGTTGCAATAGAGACATATATGGCCCACAAAGCCTAAAAATTTACGATCTGATCCTTTAACTTTGCTGGTCTCTGCTACACATAACCAAATAAAATTAATTTCTAAAAGAAAAGCCAGTGATTAAAATCTCCCTATATTTTCTACACAAGAACTGGGTGGCAGCCAGAGACCATTAAATGTAAATGGTGTTCCTTTGCAAGGTGAACTCAAAAGTAACCAAGTAACCCTTTCACACTTCCTAGTGGAACTACAAAATGGACCATTCTTTATAAGTGGCTTAGAGGTCATCCCCAAATATCAGCCAAAGTAGAGATTACCTACTCCAAATTTTAAGATTGGGGCAATAAATCTAAGTGAGTGAGAAAACACATTGATCACACTGCTAGACACATAAAGAATTTCGAAGCATATATAATCTTAAAGTCTCACCCTAGATGATACTAGTTAAAGCAATAAGTCATTAACTATAATGTGGACAGAGTCCAAATCTATCTAAAATATTTTCAAAATAAATTAGTAAATAACACATATTAGAATAAAATTATTAAACAATAACAAAATCACTAGTTGAGGTAATTTTAAAACACACATGATACTGCTATGTAATTTGCTCGCAGAAATGCTATACCCAGTTTGTAGCCCTGTCTGTACCAGCAGCTAAAGAGCGTAAGCCAGTTATGAGCAAAAGGGGCCGCGCTCTCAATGTTACTCCTGCCTCGAATGTGTGCTGCCACTTGGTCTTTTCTGTTTCCTTTCCCTTCACTTTTAGAAGTTAGGCTACCTTGTCATGTTTAAGAGGCATCATAACCCACCAGAAATTACTGAACAAAATAAGATATAATTAAACAAGCAAACTTTATGAATCTCTAAGAGTGCACATAATTACATGGGCTTCCTCCACATTCACAGTAACATCCCCTGCATAATGGACAAGATTTTATTGCTGAGCTCGTCTCTGAGTGGATGAGCACAGCTCAAGGGAGTAAAACAATGTAACTTTGTCCATGAAAGGCAGGTATCTGACATATTACCAGAGGAAAATATTATAAAAGTAGTTCAAATAGTTCATATTTTCAAAAAATTAAATCATCACATTTCCTAAAGTATGGCTGGCTTGTTCCATTTCCCATCACACTAAAATGCACTGCTGATCATTTTGAAAAGCAGCTGAAACAATATGAAAATTCATATAACTAAGAAAATAGGCATAGTGGAAAAGAAGTTCTGGAAATAACTGAGCTTTATTGAAAACAGCAAATCTATTACCTCCATTAAAACACTGGGCTCATCAGTTTAACTTTTCAAATACTGAGTACCTAATACTGATAATAAATTGTATTTTAAGCTTGTGTGTAAACTCCTTTTTTTTTTTTGAGATGGAGTGTTACTTTGTCACCTAGGCTGGAGTGCAATGGCATGATCTCGGCTCACTTGCAACCTCCATCTCCCGGCTTCAAGCGATTCTCCTGCCTCAGCCTCCCAAGTAGCTGGGACTACAGGCATGCACTACCACACCCAGCTCATTTTTGTATTTTTAGTAGAGACAGGGTTTCACCATGTTGACCAGGTTGGTCTTGAACTCCTGTCCTTAAGTGATCCACCCACCTGGGCTTCCCAAAGTGTTGGAAATACAGGCATGAGCTAGCATGCCTGTAAACGCTTAAAAATCTTTCACATCTAGGCTGACAATGTAGATGAGTGTCGCGATCTTGCTTTTATAGGGTTAACAACCTCCCTATGGCTGATTTAAGCTTCCAAAATATTAAACAGGTACTTTCCTTTTACTGTGATCCTTTGGCTCCTTCCCATGAAAAAACTGTGAAAGTACTAAATAAAGCTTTATTTTTCCCATTTGGTAAAAAATTGCAAACATTCTGTACAGATGGGGAGAAATCCACACGGTACCTTGGAGGTGCAGATGAGGAGGGAGGCTTCTCTGGGGTCTAGGCATTCACAATAAGGGGAAGAAGGACCAGGAAAAGAACAAAAAACAGGTTAGAACAAGCAGCTCAGATATGTTAGATGGATTTTAAAGGACTCCTGGTACTACAGGGTGCACAGCACTTACTTGTTCACTGTCACTGTCCTCACTGTCACTGAGCTGAAGGTCGTCTTCGAGCATGCTGGAATGGGCAGGGACACAGAGAAGAAAGAATGTGAAATGATTTCTAACAACTTTTCTAGCATATAAATAGAAAATATGCCTAACTAAACAAAAAAGAGACAGGATATGTGTCAGTTCTCTTTATTTATTAAATGCTGTATTTTCCTAGAAATGTAAATTTTACAATTATACGATTACGATGTACAACATACAATCATAATTATACAATTATAACACAGAAACAAGTCAAATGCAAACCTCTTACCATCTCCAAACCGATTCTTTCACATGTTACAAACATTGAAGCAGAGCTACCACATGACAAAGATTCACTGCAAGCCCTGAGACTAAAGTCACCAGCTCCCAATCAGTGAGGTCAGGGTTCACGAAAACAGAACAAATGGCGGGGGTGGGTGGGAGAGATACATAATACACTCAATTACTTTCTTCCATAAGCTCTAACTGAACTAGAATAATTAGCCAATAAATGAATTAAAGCTGGATGAATATTTGTAAAGCACTCAGAACAGTGCCAGGCTCATAAAAAGTGCAACATTAGAATTAAACACACAGTAGACGCTTGATGCTATTAAGGCAACCATCACCCAACAATGCAGTTACTTTACGTTTCTGTCCAAAGGACATTATTAATAGTGAGTTCTACTTTTGACAGGTAATGAATTATTCTCTTTTGCCTATGTAAACACTGACCAATGAGAAGAACGGTAATACAAACGAGATTGTCTACAAATTATGTTTAACATTATTGCTATTGTTTCAGTGGGGAAAAAAATCAGTTCATTTCCTCAAACTTATCTGTAGGCATTCTGGCTTATGGTGAACCTAAATAGTAAAAAGCAAATATTTTCCAATCTATACATGTGTTGTCAAATTTTAAGAACTCCCCCCCACCCATGTTTGACCTTATTCCATGGATATACCCAAATATCACAGGAATGATTCAGTAATTGCTTCTTCTCACCCCTTTCCCCCAAATTTTATGAGCATGGCTATTTGAGCAAATGTTATAAGTAAAACTGAAAAGAGAAAAATAATCTGCTGGAGTGTTACCAATGCTCCAAAAAGCTAATTATTAGAGATTAAAATCCTTTAGTATTTCCAAAAATACCTATTCAAAAATCTAACGATTTTTACTGCAAAGCCACGATCTACCACTGAAAAATGGGCCACAGTTACTTTGGAAATCCTGGTAAAAACCACTATATTTTCTAATGAAAATGAATACAACTTGGCTCTTTCGTAAATGACCGCCTACATGAGGTGGTAATTCTGCCAAGAAACAACTTTCATAAATGTACTAAAAACATACTGGGATAAGTTTCTAAATAAAATGAAAACTGTTAGCAACTTTTAAATGTAGAGCTTGCTCAATATTTATCTAACAGAAGCTAAATTCGTATTTTTATTTCTTTTTGAGACAGGGTATCTCACTCTGTTACCCAGGTGTGATCTTGGCTCACTGCAGCCTCTTGGCTCACTGCAACATCTACCTCCTGGGCTCAAGCAACCCGCCTGCCTCAGCCTCTTGAATAGTTGGGACTACAGGTGCATGCCACCACACCCAGCTAATTTTTGTGTTTTTGTAGAGATGAGGTCTTACTATGCTGTCCAGGCTGATCTAGGGCTCCTGCGCTATCTGTCTACCTCAGCTTCCCAAACTGCTGGGATTATAGGCGTGAGCCGCTGTGTACGGCTCAATTCATATTTTTTTCAAGGCTAGAAAATATAGCTTTCAGTCACAGAACTTGGCAGTTAGCAACATAATGGAATATAAGAAAAAGTCACTCAACAGGCTTATTGCTAAATGGTGGCTTGGCTGGGATACACAAAAGCAAAAGATAAAAGACATGTCTTTAGAATAAATGTAAAGTATAAGACAACCAGAAAAAAAAACCTGGCAAGGTGTATTCAATATTAGCCACCAACCACAACAAAACAAAAAAGGAACCTCTTTCTTAGTTACTAGGTTTGTTTTGAATAAAGCTGATTTGCCTTAACTCCTGTAACATCAATGATCATGTAATCCAACCACACTTCCTGTTTTGAGCACAGGATTAAAAATTCTGTAACTTTTTCTTCTAACTACTGAACATCTAACTTCTATGAATGTGCTCTCCTAAAGTACATCAGAAAGTTAAAGAAAGTTCTGACTTTTGGCTCTACTCCCTCTTCAAGATGAATAGGTACCATGAATTCAAGATAAACAGATACCATGAATATGTCATCACAGATTCTAAAAATTTTCCCTTCAGACAATTATGTAGACTATAACAAAATGAGCCTGCGGGTAAAAAACCTATTCTAAACCTAAAGAGTAGGACTGTGATCTCTGAAGCAAGATTGCAAAAGTTATCTCCAGAAATCATAAACCAGTATGGTTAAACAAAACCTCTCCTCCCTCATTTGGGATGCATTGAGATTTATACATGAAGTATTTTACCTAATAAAAATTTGTGAGTATAATTTATTTGATAAAGAATAAACGATCTCACATGAGAATCAGCAGACTTGTGTATCGTTAGTGTCTGCAGGCACAGCGAAGAGTAAGCACAGAATATTCCAGAAAGCATGATTTACTGTATCACCAGAGGTGGGTATCTCAACATAAACTAGCATGCTATTATTGGAGGAAAAAATTGCAGCAAGAGAAACATTTTTTTCTAAAGGTTTTATGTAAAAAAAAAGTATGACATCTACCTTTTTAAAAAGTTACAAGTCATAACTAAGTTATGTTAATATAGAATATTAATCATGAATGCCATTATGATTTTTTTTTAAAAACAGTAAATCTATGTAGCTGAAAAAAGAGCTTGCTTGATGACAGGTGAAGGATTTTTAGGCGTAAAGACAAATTTTAAACGAATTTAAATTTCCTTTAAATCTAAGAGGCTAATGTCCTCTGCCTGTCCCACAAACTATATTTGCAGCCAAGCATACACTATATGTGCAGAACCAGTCCTCGAATGTGGAGGAGGAAATGGACTACAGCACACCTGGGTGAGCACCTCTGTCCCCACAAGAGAATCCAAATCTCTTAGACCCAGTCTCAGTCATAGCAATAAAGCCTAGGTCAAGAGAACAGAGAGCTCAATGGATGTGCTTCTTCTTTCTCACCTGTATAAGCTTTTTTGAATTAGGATCAAGTCATTTTCACCTTTATAGTCTGTCTAGAAACTGGTAGATATTTAAAAAAAAAAAAAAAAAAAAAAAAAAAGCAGGCTGAATGAATAAGACCCCTCTGTTGAATAAGTAATAGTACCATGCAGGTGTGCTCACTATGTGATCAGAACAGATGCTACCTATCATTACAATCCTGTGTGGTGGCTTTGACCATCCCTTCATATTCTGAGGATGAGAAAAACGGCCACCTGACATGCCCAAGATCATGAAGCTGCCGCACGCTGGAGCTAGGATGCAATCTATCCCATCTGATACAAGATCCCCTTGTTCTGGCCAATATTTGACACAATGGTTAGAAAACCTAACTGATGGAATTAAATCTAAGTTCCAGAACCCACCAAGAGAAAGACCTTGATTTAAAATAAAACTACTTTTCTATTAGAATAAATTCAATATACTATGTTTCCCTTATGAAAGTAAATTAACTTTAAATCTTACATACTTTAACTGGTCAAATAACTAATTTCATTTTCAAACTCCAAGGCAAGGCAGTTATTTCAAAACATATGGAACCGTATTACTTACTTTGATACTGTTCAAAAGAAGACAAATTAAAGCAACTCTTTAAACTACATATAGGTTTCGTCACATTTTACATTTGGTTAGGTAAACTTTTTGCTTACAGGTAACAAACAATTCTCAAAACCCTTTGTACAAATGCATTTTTCAGGCAGCTGTTCTAGCAAAGCTTAAAGAGCCACATACAGGTCCTGGCAGGCACACTGCGTGAGTCAGCCCAGCTGTTACAGCGTGAAGACATAAAGACAAGTTGCCATTTCTTTTCCATGTCTTAGGACTGGGCTTGCCCAAAGCTTTCACTGCCAATATTTGTAACATCTCAGTTCAGACCCAAAAAGTATTTACATAACCTTATTTCTTAGCTTAATATTTCTTATGATCATTTTGAGAAAGAGCAAGTGAAGTCAAGATCACAGTAGTTATTTAAAATTAATAAGTCACAACCATGGTATCAGGTGTGCTAAAAATAATAAAAGTAACACTTTTCAGGAACCATTAACAAGTATGTGAGAATGTGTAAACTTAGAGTCTCACAAATGTAAAACTGATCCAGAGATAGGATGGGCAATGGGGCATAAGGCAGGAGACAGAGGCTGGGCTCCAGAGAACATCCAGAATCTTTTTTATTTTTTTTTTTCAATCTGAGACAAGGTCTCACTCTGTCGCCCATGCTGGAATGCAGTGGCACCATTATGGCTCACTGCAACCTCTGTGCCATTTAGGTTCAAGTGACCCTCCCACTTAAGGCCCCTGAGTAGCTGGGACTATAGGTTTGTGCCACAACGTTCAGCAATTTTCTCAAGAAATTTTTTGTGGAAGCAAGGTCTTACTGGATGCACAGTCTGAATTCATTTACTTTCAAGGCTCAAGCAGTCCTCTCATCTCAGCTTCCCAAAGTGTTGGGATTATAGGTGTGAGCCACCATGACTGGCCCCGGAATCCCAGCATTTTCAAAGCAAACAGACTCTGATTCCTTTCTTGATACACGTAGAAATAAGGACTGCCCATACATTCTAAGGGTCAATAGAAGGTTACAAATTACAAAGCAGGCTAAACAAAGAATAGACGAAAAAGTGAAAAGGCAGATCTCCAGCAGTTGTGACATAACATTTAATGGGAACTCTCCAAATGGTGACAATAGTTAGAAGGCAGAATTCAAGTTCATGGAGAAACTTTCTACAGGAATTATGGGATAACAAGACAGAGGGGAAACTGACTCTACATGATTAACTCTAGTGAAAAGGGTTAATGGCTGATATGATAAAAATGGTCGATGGAGTTATAAAAGATTACTTAAAC